ATGGCCGTGCACCTCTCCCATCAGGGCCTTAACCCTGCAGGGTCCCAGGGCAGGGCCATCCCCAGATGGAGACATCTGCTAGCCACAAGGCATAATGACAGACCCAGAGAGAGGACCCTGGAACAGCACCAGCAGGAAGCCAGACCTGAGAACTGTCTGGGTCCTCACAGGAGCTGGAGTCTTCCCTGGGTTGTTGGGGCTGAAACATCATCTCATTTATGGGGCAAAGTTCATGTGAGCTTGAACAGTCCACAGAGAAGATGCTGGAGCACAAAGCATCAGGCCTGGTGCCTTCCCAGATGCCGAACAGCTAGAAGACCTGTTCCCAGCTCGGCCAGCCTCACCTCTATGGACAACTGGTGCTGTCTAGGTTCCCTTGATCATGACTAGCCACCCTCAGTACAGAGCACCTAATTCATACACACCTTGCATTCCTGCTCCATGGAAACTTTAGGCACTTTCAGACCAGAAAAACTTCAAGCAACTAGCATTGATTGCTGATAAAATTGGAGTAAGGGGGAGGGCTGAGGGGTTGGGACAGCAAGAACCTCAACATCATGGCTCAACACATCAATCCTCCACCCTGTGGAACTGCTATCCCAAATGGGTGCTGGATCATGTCCTGGCGGCTCCAGTTCCCATTCAATTCCCTGCTAGTGGCCTGGGAAGGCAGCAGAGGATGGACCAAAGCCTTGGGATCCTGCACCCGCGTGGGAGACCTGGACGAGCTCCTGGCTCCTGGCTGCAGACTAGCCTAGATTTGGTTGTTGTGGCCATTTGGGGAGAGTACCAGTGGGTGGAGGATCTTTCTCTATTTCTCCTTCTCTCTGTAAATCTCCTTTTCAAATAAAAATAATTAAATCTTAAAAAAAAAAAACTGGAGTAATGGGCCAACATTTGGCGCAGCCAGTTAAGTCCCGTATTGGAATATGAGCTTCCAGTCCCAGCTCTGCTCTCTGTTTTAACTTCCTGCTAATGCACACGATGTGAGGCAGCAAGGGACAGCTCAAGTCCTTGGTCTCCATCACCCACATGGAAGACCTGGTCCATCCAGGGCTCCTGGCTTTACCCAGTCCCAGCCCAGCTGTCGTGGGCACTTGGGGGAATGGACCAGAGGTTGGGAGATCTTTTTCTCTGTCTTTTGAGTAAAATATAAATTTGGGAATACAGTAAAAGCAGAATGGGTTTCAGTGACTTTTCAGCATGATAGTGCTGCAGGCCTCTGGCAGTCAAAGCACGCAGCTACAGGAGAGCACAAGACACAGCTGCCCATGGGAAGTCACTGGCTGGTTGCAGGGTTCCACGGCTGCACCTGCCAGGGGAGATTTCACATTCTGTCTTCAAGACTAGATTTAACGCAGCTAAAGCCAAGGCAGGATATAGCAGCATTTCAAACACTCAAGTCAAACCCGAGGGAAAGAACAGGATAAATTACACGCGTGTTTGGACTCAAGGTTGGATGAGGGATGGGGATTCGGAGGAGAGCAGAGGACGTTAACTCAGCTTGAGTTGCCAAAACCCACACAGTTAGAAACACATAAATGGTCTTAAGAACTTCAAGGTGCTGCCTCCTGGGGTTCAGACACGCTCAGGCAGTGCAGTAAAAGAAACAATTTCTTATTTTACACCCCAATTCCTCTGATGTTGGGGAGGGATACTGCCAAGGGGTACCCACACAGCTACCACACCTCACACCTGCAGATGTGAGCATATGGGCAGGTGTTATGTGCAGTTAGAAATGCTACTTAAGATACCCAGATCCCATTTCACAGTGCCATCCCTCAAGTTCCAGCCCCGCCTCCCATTCTGGTTTCCTGCTAATGGACACTTCAGGAGCCAGCAGGTGGTGGTGCAAGCAGCTTGTTCCCCGCCACCCACATGGAAACCTGGACTGAATTTGCAGTCCCTGACTTTAGCCTGGCCCAGTCCCTGTCACCAGTGGATGGGGACTCCGTCTCTCTGTCTCACTCAAATCTATAAGTAGCATTGTCAGCCCCAACATATCCAAAAGTACACCTCTACAGCTTCAACCAATGTCGGACTAAAAAATTTTTCAACAAACAACAAAACTCCACAAAGTTCTAAAAGACAAAGAACTGTGCTATTAGGCCTATTATGGGTACACCTGTACTGAGCATGAGACTTTTTCTCATAATTCTCTAAACAATACAGCAAAACCACTATTCCCATAGCTTTATATTGTAATATGCATTACAGGAAACCTGGAGGTAATTTAACTTATGCAGAGGATGTGCGTAGGTTACATATGCCAGTGCACACGAAGCCTGGCACAACCTGCAGGGGGTCCTGGGACCAAACCCCGTGAATACCAAGGAATGACTGAGTAGCTATTTACTTGTATGGCACCACTTCACTACTAAACACCTGTTCAACTAACCATCTTCACTACTAGACACTTAGAAAGCTGAACATCTGCACAGTTAACTATCTATTCCACCAAGTATCCATACTACTGATTGCTCACAAAACTAATCCCCTGCCAAACTAACCACCTTCACTGCTAACCACTTTCACTGTTAACCACCTATACAACTAACCATCTATACTAACCATCTTCACTATTAGCCATCTGTACTGCTAACCATCTCTACTAGCCATCTGCCCTACCATTTGCCATATCAACCATTTGCACCACTAACAACCTGTACAACTATCCATCTGCACAACGTGCCCACCAGTTGCCCAGAGAAAATGCAAAACTGTCCCAGCAACAGAGAACCTTTATGGGCAGAACAGCAGCAAAGGGGCTCACTCACTTCCACTAACAGCTGCGAATGAGGACTGTCAGCACCTGTCCCAAGCATGCTGCTGCTTGGTGGTGCCCATCACAACAGACCACGACAAGCCCTGGCTTTTAGGGCCCTGGGCGGGCATCCATGGAGGGCTTCCTGTGGAGATCCTGGCTGAAAAGAGGTGGCACTTCATCAGCTGTAGTGATGAAAAGCACATCTTAGAACAGCAGTGTCCAATACATCAACCACATACAAGGAATTCTCAACAGGTTTATGTGGCCGGCACAAGGGCATAGCAGGCCTGTGGCACCAGCATCCCACAGGGGCCTTGGTTCTAGTCCCAGCTGCTTCACTTCCAATTAGCACTTCCTGCTAATGCGCCTGTAAAAGAAGTGGAAAAGGGCCCAAGGTCTTGGGCCTCTGCACCCATGTGGGAGACCCCAAAGAAGTTTCTGGCTCCCAGATTCAGATTATGGCCATTTGGGGATGAACTAACTGATGAAATATATCTCTGTGTGTCTCCCCTGTTCTCTTTCTGGAATTCTTTCAAGTAAAATAAATACATCTCATTCTTTTTTAAGGTTAATGGAAAACACATAGCATTAAAAAAAAAACTGTGCATAGGTTTCAGCACTCTGCATCAAAATAAAATTTTAATTCTATTTTTCCACCAACTTTTTTTGGGTGAAGTATCCTCATGTAAGTAAATTTCAATGAGATTTAAATAAACTTAAAATCAGTTTTGACCCAGTGCAGTAGTCTAGTAGCTAAAATTCTCACTTTGCGCCAGGATCCCATATGGGCACCGGTTGATGACCCAGCTGCTCTATTTCCCTTCCCTTCCCGCCTGCTTATGGCCTGGGAAAGCAGTTGAGGACAGTCCAAAGCCTTGGAACCCTGCACCTGCTTGAGAAGTCTAGAAGAAGCTCCTGGTTCCTGGCTTTGGATTGGTTCAGCTCCAGCCATTGCAGCTACTTAGGGGAGTGAACCAGTGGATGGAAGATCTTTCTATATTTCCTTCTCTTTATAAATTCACCTTTCCAATAAAAATTAATAAATCTTTTTTAAAAATCAGTTGCACATTTCAAGTGGCTAGTTTTCGAATATTTCCATCATCTCAGAAAGTTCTATCGGGCAGTATACCTGCTGTACCTTTAGCCTGAATGAGCCAATTGCCTTTTTCTTGTCCAATCACCACGTGTTCACATGATATTGATATTTACTTACTAACAAGGTTCTTGCAATCCAAAATGGAAACCTGCCTAGGATGCATGACATTACATAGCTTCCGATGGCAGAAAGCCCGGACCTTCATAATGAAGAGTGATGTCTCCATTCCGAGCATGCTCGCTGGCATTTTGAAAATCGCAAATAATGTAGAACCTAACCTCCACTCCTGACTCTGCTAATTCTTAGGAGAAAATGACTTCACACACACACACACACACACACACACACACACACACACACGGGGTTGCCAATGCCTCCTGCCAGATCTTGCTGAAAATGGCAAATAGTGATGTTACATTCTGTTGACTTGGAAATCTGCTGACTGGCAGCCCTCAGGACCTGTTGGCATGAACCCCTTCCCCCAGAGTGCCTCTCACTTCAGACACACCCTCGAGACTCAAGTCGCCTTCCTGTGAACTCAAAACCCTTTAGTGGCTCCACACATTCTACCACTGTCGGCAGATCTTTTTTTTTCTGACATCAACAGTGCTGCCCCACTGCAGCAAGTGCCCAGCGACAACCCAGTCCTGGGGAGGAGGAACTGGGATGGGGTGGGTCTCACTGGAACTCACGGAGGCCAGGCTACTCAATCTCCTTTCCTGTTGTTGACGCCAAGGTTGTTGGCACCATAACTTCAAATCACAATTGCATCTACAAACAATTTGCACTTCTGCAGTACCATAATCCCAGAGGTTAATTAACAAGCCCTGGGAACACCACCACCTTTCAAAACCACAGAGACTGAGGCCACCTCGGGCAAGACAGGATCACCCGCCTTCCTATGTCATTTCCGAAGATTCCTGGCTGAGGGCTGATGACGTGTTGAGGGCGTAGGTTCTGGAGTATATGGCAAGTTCCAGATGTTACTGAAAGATGTGTTCACTGGAAGTCAAACACATCACGCACTGGCTCAGATCTAGTCTGAACAGAGCCAGCTCTGAAGAGGGGCTAAGGTGACGAGAGCCAGAAGCAGCTTCCAGGAGGGCCACTCAGGGGATGTCCAGCACACTGCCATACCTGTCACGGCCCCCAGGTAGAACACGGCGTTGACCAGCGCGCCTCCTTTCCGGAAGTGACTGCTCATGTGCTCCAGCCAGTTGGCATCCAAGCTGCTCACGGTCTGGCCGTTCCTGGAGACTCGCAGAGGGATGGTGACGGGGTAGTACTGCCGGCACGGCCGATGACTCTGCGGTTTGTTGAATAGAGCGATGATCTCCATCCCTGCAGAGGTTTGGAAAAAGCGGTAGAGAGAAAAGGGGTCAACCACGGAGAGAAAAAGACTGCCCAGGAGCCCGAAGAACAACAATCCACAGGCCACCTCTGTGAGAGACACTGCTGCCAGATGCCCTGACCTCATGGTGACTGAGACCCCCTGAGGGTGGGCTTCGGATGGGGGGTGGCCTTTGGTACTGGAACATCATGCAGGGGCTATCCACTGAGAGTCACTGAAACACAGGCATTGCTAGAAATGCACGCAAAGATGTGCCTTGCATGGAAAAGGAAACCCCTTTGGGCAACAATTGCTCTTGAACATGATTGTGCAGAGCACAGGAAAACAAAAGCCTGCTCCGATTCCAGGAATCTCATACAACCGTAAGCTCACTATTTATAAATGGCAGCAGCGCTTCCTGGGGCCGCCCTCATCACACTTAATCAAGAACATCAAAAACACATCATTGATATGTAAAAATAAATACTTCCCCATAAGCCAGAGTTCCTGCTCCAAGTGGCACCCAGGACTTAGCCAGGCAGGCGCCGAGGGATGAGGCTCAGCTCCATAACAATCAATCAAGGCCATGGGCCGGGCAGCAGTGGATTCACGTTGGGCGGCCCTACCTACGTGCCACTGGGCAGGAGTTGGCCGCAGCAGGTTGGTCGAACAAATGCCTGGAATTTCAACCTAAGCCCGTAGGTCTATTTTTGTGTTACTCAGTTAGTTAAGCAATCAGAGTGGACTCAGTTTGAAAGCTTTGCTTACACAGGCTTGTGAGGAATATGCTGTGGCTTCCAAAAATATCTTTTTTTGGAACCCTGAGAAAATCCCCACCCTTCTGTCAAATACGAAAAAAAAAAAAAAAAGTAAAGGACATCTACAAAGGTTAACATGAGTACGAAGCGCAAAGCACCGGCCGCCTGCTCCCTGCCGGAAACCTGGGGCCGCGTTCTAGAGGCCATTCCCCCAACTGTACTGTTTCACAATTTCTGTGGCATCCCAACACTAGCTCTGGAGTGACTCACTTTTCTTTATTTAAATAAGTGCCCCTTAAGAAAGAAACTGTGCTCCGTGAGCTGAAGGCAAGCCACTACCCTCAGCCATAAATAGGGGGCTGTAAGAGGCACAGCAGCACTGATTGGCTTTATGCAGGTAAGGCCCGCGTTTTTCTCTCACGGATCAGTACCCTACTTGGTGGCACAGTCTGGGCGAGCATCAGCAGACATCTCTGCGGGTCAGTGCCGGGCTTTGCGGCTGTCATCAGCCATGGTGGAGCAGGAGAGCTGCCTCTGAGCCTGCGCTGGAACCTGCTACCAAAGGACGGTGCCCATCTCCAGCAGCAGCCACCTCGATGTCCAGCACCAATCCTAGCCCAGGCTTTAGCTTTGCCAAATGACCACTCTCTCAGTCACCCTTAGCCAAGAACTACGTGCACGACAGAGATGAGAGCTGGGGTCTAGAGCTAGTGACCACCTGACACTTTCATGGCTGAACATACATTTTAGGGGTAGAATGGCAGAGAAGAAGGTTTCTAGCCAAGGGCATAAAGGCATGGGCTGGTGCTGGGTGGAAGGAGGACCGTGGGGTGTTTTCATGCTCAGTGCAAAGGGTTTAGAAAAGCAGCAGCTCCTAAGGGCAAGGGGCTCAACACTGTGTTAGCGAGTCCTCAGCTGCACTGGGATCTCTTCCAAAGCAGACAAATAGGTCGTGTCAACTTCTGTGTGTGAAGTTGCTTCTTTGGGAAATGATCCCAGGAAACACAGGGAGGGAGCAGGCATGGTGATTGGTGGGGGACACGGGGGAGGCTAACAAATGAGCGGTCTTTAATGAGCAGTTATCACAGGGGCAACTGGAGTTCATGCCACCCAGACACTGTGGGTTACACGCAGCCCAAGTGAGCCAGAACAAGACAGGCAGAGGCTGAGGAAGCTGCCAGCTTGGCCATGGCCATCTGCAGGTGGCTCCAAGGTGGGGCAGTGTACTTGTCGTGGAGGCTGCTGAGGGCCTGAGAACTAAAAGGCCAACGCACCGGGGCTCCACAAGGAAGAAGTGAGCGGGGAATTTGGCAGAGGCCAAATGCTCGGCTCATGGGGTGACACTTGGCCACACATAAGGATCCCCACTTACAGGGCAAGGCAGAAACACGACTTGCCCAAATACATCATGAAACCAAAAAGGGGGAAGTGCTAGAAGGAGAAGTGAGAACGCTGGGGACCGGGGCAGGGAGCAGGGACTGGTGTGTAGGCGGGAGGAAGACAGAGTCAGACAAGGTGAAGGGGCTAACAGGGACCTGGCTTTCCCGTCCTGATGCGCCCCAGAGGGCAGGACTGAAGCCAGAGACAAAAATAAATCCTTCAGGAAGGAAAAGGAAATGATGTTGGAACGAAGAGCGTCCCAAGTTATTAGCAGCCTTGAGCTACCGGAGAAATCGGACTTGAGGAGTCTGATCCTTTAGTAAATCCCATCTCCTCCGCCACAGTCTCGTTTCTGTTCACAGGAAACCAGCCAAGAGAAACTGTCCCTATGTGATGTCCTTCCATGTTCCACTATTGCAACTATCCAACACACACACATGCAGGCACGAAGGGCTCCAAACGGCAGCCCCACTTTGGTTTAAATTCCTCAGCTGCTGTGTGACACCGCCATGACCCAGCGGGAAGATTTTTTCCCAGACATGGGACACAAAGTCCCAAAGGAGTGGGAAAGGCATTGTTCACGAACACAACACTCACAGTGGCTGAAGGACCGCCCTGGCACAGCACCCAAGGCTCTGAGCCCAGTGTGCTTGAGACCTGCAACCCATGGGGGATGCTCCTAGCTTCAGCGCCTGGCTCTCTCTTCCAGCCAGTGCAGACTCTGCAAGGCAATGGTGATGGCTCAAGTGACTGCATTCCTACCACTCACCCAAGACACCTGATTTGAGTTCCTGGCTTCTGGCTTTGGTCCTGGCTCCTGGGGGCACTGAAAAAAGTGAACCAGTGTGTGGAAAAGCACACTCTCTTTTCTCTGAAACAATTTTGTTAAATTTTTTATTTACTTGAAAGGCAGAATTACAGAGAAAGAAAAAGACAGACACAGGGAGCAGTGGAACAGAGAGCTCTTCCATCTACTGGCTCACTCTCCAAATGGCTACTCCAGCTGGGGCTAGGACAGGCCTAAGCTAGAAGCTCAGAGCTCCTCACAGTTCCCCCACATGGGTGCAGGCACCCAAGCACCTGTGGGCACCTTCTACTGTTTCCCAGGCTCATCAGCAGGGATCTGGGTCAGAGAAGGAAAACCCAATCTCGAACTCACGCCCACACGGGATTGCCAGCATCACAGGGGAAGTTTAACACTCTATGCCACAATGCCAGCCCCTGAAATTGTCTTCTTTAAAAACCCTGTATTCTCATCTTTTCTTTGCCCTGACACAAGATGTTGCCTTTCTTGTTGACATCCTTCATGCCCAGCGCAGTCTCGGTAACACAGCAGGTGCTGCCAGCATTTGCTGGATCGACCTGAGCCAGACCAGTGGCTAGGGGCAGGCTGAGCAATTGTTTGCTCAGTGTCTGCCCACCCACACCTTGCTAAGGCTGCCCAGTGGGGAGAAAAGGAAAAGACAGCTGACTCTGAGGCCTTGCCTGGGGCACAGGAACCCAGAGGTGGCATAGGAGCTGGGCAGACTGTATGCAAGGAGGCCTGAATTTGAGAGTGTGCAGGGAGCTGGCTGGAGGTCCGGAGCCCGAGGAGCTGTCCAGCCTGGAGCGAAGCAAGAGTTCAGGGTCCTGTCTGAGTGTGGGCTCCTCAGGCTGGATGTGGGAGGAGGGTGAGTGGCTGAGCACCAAGTGAGAGCGATAATGGTGCTGGAAGGGAAGACCAAAGCTCTTCAGTGGGCAGAGAGGGCAGAGAGGGCAGCGGGTGCTACGGCTTCTCCAGCCAGTCTCCTCCTAGACAGGTAGATGGGCCTGCTGGGCCCATGCGAGGGCAGCATACCAGGCAGCAGGGCAAGGCCAGCATGCAGGTGCCAGCTGGCTGTGCAGAAATTAGGAATGCTGTAAGGCTCACAGCTTTGGGCCCAAGTCCTAGAACAAACAAGGGCCTCTCGTCTCCATCACCACCTGTGTCTCTCCTGCCCTGCGCAGGATGGAACAGCAGAGGCCAACACCCAGATGCATGAGGGGATTTATGAGAAATTATGAGGCTACACAGAGCCATGCAGAGAGGTCTTCAAACCCCAAGCCTTGGGCTCCTTCCTAAATCCTAAAGAGGCTAATGTATTGGGCAGGGGAGTGAGAACTCAATGGCTGCTTGTCTGAGGGTGTGACAGGCCCCAAAGCTGAGAGCAGGTGGCAGGTCTGGGAGGCAGGGCAATGGAGGAGGACCTCCATCAAAAGAGCACTCCTTATATCTTTTAGCATGAGCTGCCTGCCAAGGTCAACCCCCATCGCCAGCCAGGAACTGTTGCAGCAGGACGGCTAGGGGCTGTCTGGTATTTACAAGAGCTTGCTCCACCTACATGCAAGAAGGAAAGGACAGTGCTTGGAAGAGGTTTTTATGATTAGCCTAGCGACAGAATATTCTAGAAAATCTGTCTGGCTGCCTTGTTTCTCAGATAGGAAAACTGCAGCAGCACAGACACTGGGGCTGCCCCTGCAGAGCTCAGGAGTGACCTCCAACCCACAGGAAACCCCCACCCTCCCTAACCAGAGCAGGAAATCAGTCACTGAGCAGGCAGAGGGACTCGCCACGCCACCCTGGGCAAGGAAGACACCACCCTGGGGGCCCCCGCGCCGTCTGCTCTAGTTCTGGAGGAGAATCCCCGGGAAATCCCAGTGTGGGCAGCCGCTGGGGAGATTCCGCCACACAGCCCCTTCCTCCCCCTGCACGACCATGAAATAAATGAAGTGAAGAGAAGAGGAGAAGGAGAGAGACTCCCCCTGGGTCTTTTGTAATTGTCTGGCTCTGATTGCCTATTTAAACCCACCTGGTACAAACAGCAATAAAACAACACTTCACCCTCCTGGGGGTGGGATGGGGGAGCCGTATGAGCAAGGCAAGCCCCTGGCTGCATCGCAGTGGGTCGGCCAGGCAGGCCTCATGTGCCTGTTTTCGGGGTGATATGAGTGGACTTCCCAGGGAAGGAAACGCAAAGACTCTCCAGGAAAAAGATTAGGAGAGAAGCTGGGGTCTGGCGAGGGTCATGACCAACGAGGGCAGGGTGGGAGTGTGGATGTCCGGCCATCCAGTCGGCCAAAGGCTGCGGCTGGAACAAGAAGTGTAACCACGCAAGGCTAGCGCAGTACCTCTCTTATCTCCGAAGCAGCTACCATGGCAAACTGTTGGGAGGGGACACTGGAGCAACAGCCAGAAGGATTCAGACCAGGGCTCTCTGGGGCTGGGGAGGGGTCCGCATCACCTCACATCATGACCCGCACCTGTCCCCAACCAAACTGCATGGTCACAGGCAAGCCCTGTGCATCTGTCAGCTGAAGGGCGGTGCACAGGCCTTGACTTCGCCACAAGGAGGGAGAGCATCGCTGAGGGCTAAGGGGCCAACTCCCTGTAGATGCAGGGCACCTGCAGCCCAGCCTGGGTTAGAGAAACCTAGAATACCCCTGCCTGACCCATGCCATACCCCAATCCCTTGACTCTTGGCTGACACCTCCTGAAACACATCCAGCCACCCTCGTTCTCCACGTGGCCTGCTGGATAGCAAGAATGGTCTCCCAAGGTGATACACACGGCCTAAGGCACCGATGTCGTGGTCACCATTCAGCCACAGGGCCGGGCAGGAGGTGGGGGCCCGCAGGACAGGGACAGGCCATCAGACACAGCTCCCTCATCAGCCACTCGCATCGGGTCAGCCATAGAAGGCAGGAAGTCTAGAAGGACTTGGGGAGTACGGCACCCAGTCTTTCTCCGCATGAGGATGAAGAGTCCTACGTTAAGACCTGGACATACCTCAGACCGAGAGAAGACTCACGTGAAGGAAGAACTCCACTCGAGCACATCCTTAGCCCGGACCCGGGCACTGCCTGATGAAACCCTAGTTCGAATCCTTCCACAAGAGCCGCAGCTCCAGTGTCTCCCTCTCTAAAAACCAGCTTCTGAATGAGTCCCCAGAATCACCACCGATCTTCTGAAAATACACCGTGGTGACCACAGAAATTTCTGCTGCTTTCTATCCTCAAAGTGTAAATTGTTCCCTGTTAGCAAGAGGCTAATCAGTGCATAGCTGTGCCTACATACTTACTCCCTGAGAACGGCTCTGCAGGCGGCTCTGCTGGGTCACTATCTAGTCCATACAGGGCCTGGCTCGTGCCTCGCCGGGGACTGTCCTCACTGTCTTCCTCCGCTGAGGCCAGCTGTGCGGCTGAGTCTTGGCCAGGCTCCAGGCTTTGGTCCATCTCTGTGGGAGATCCACCCAGGTCCACAGCCCCTGGGTTCTCATGCTCCAGTGATGACGTGCAGACATCATGCGTGCTCTCTGTGTCTCCGGCTTGTGCAGTGCTGTTGGCCTTGGACGTGGCAGGGCTGTTGCCCACTGAGCCTGTAGGGGCACGGTACTGGGGTATAACACCAACAAATTTCAGGCCCTGACTTGCAGCCTCCTGGACCTAAAAGGGAATAAAAGGAAGGATGAGATGGTCTCTTCAAGGGTCAGACGCAGCAGGCGCAGCAGGCACAGAGCCTTGCTGGAGTCCCGGGTTGAGCCAGTGTGAACATGTATAAGAGCAAGCTGGTTGAGCCTCCATGCACCTGCTCACGACAGCACCTGCACGCCCTACGGTCCTGATGAAGACACAGAAACTTGTCTTGCTTTGTCCTACTCGGGGAAAGTAAAGCTTTTGATTTCTAAGGACTGGATCCACCTCTCTTTGAAACAGGACATCAGCCCCTAACGTGTGTGATTTTTTGTTTGTTTTTAATGAGCGTAGGAAAAGGTTCTATTTGAAACAGAGTTTGAAAGAGGAAGTTCATTTTTGGCAGTGCTTATTTTTTTTTTTTAAATTTTTCTTCTGATGAATCACCCACTTCTTACCAATGCAGCACAGCTACATAATCATATACCAACTGGCAGGTGTGTTTTATCACCCAAAGGGCTTTCTTTGTAGATGACAGCTTGGGTACAGAGGGGCAGTGGTGGGGAAAAAAAATCAACCACCATGTACACTGTAGGTCCATGAACACGTATGTGTCTGTTCACACACTTACGGTTGGGTTAACTCACTCTTCAAAAATTAAAAGCAAAACTACTTAAAGTCATCCTTCCCATTCCCAAAATTCATTTTTTTAATCCAGCAACCTGATACCAATGGTTCTAGAGATTATTTTGGAATGTATCTAAAAGACAGAATATACAGAGTTTAGAAGAGTGGGAGGGACTGTTTGGAATAGTTACTAGCCCACTGGATACCCACATCTCATCCCAGAGTTCCCATGTTCGATTCCAGCTCCGCTCCTGCATTTAGCTTCCTGCCACTGTACACCCTGCCAGGCAGCTGGCGAGGGCTGAAGAAGTTGAGTTCCTGACACTCCCATGGCAGACACAGACTGAGTCCCTTGCTCCTTCTGCCTGGTGCAGCCTCGGCTACTGCAGGCATCTAGGGAGGCAGTCAGTAGACGGGGCATCCCTGTTCATCTGTCTCCTGGCTTCTCTCTGCATCTCTCTTTCAAATAAATCAATAAAACTTCAACTGTAACACAAAGTTGGGCGATAATTACACCAAAAAGGACTTAGGGTAAGAGAAGTAACTATACAAAGTATAGTTCTGAAACAAGCAAGACCAGATTCTACAGTCATCAGATGAATGCGGCAAGGCTTGTGCTTTGCTAGCACCTGCTGCTGTACCTCACCTGTTGAAATAGGACTGACTGCCAGCCAATGACTGTCAACAGACTTTAAAGATAACTATACCAACAAGAAGTAATCAGCATTTACATTACAATCTTATATTTTTTAAAAAATCAAGATTCTAAACTTTATAGACCAGTGGTATGACTCCAGGTTAACATACATACAAACTATGCATGGAAACAATTACCAAAATGAAACACCACTGTATTCAGGGAGTGAGAATATGAGAATACAAGTAGTTTTTATCTGCTTGTTTGTAATTTTTTTAAAAAATCTATCTAATGAATATTCATATCACACTTAGAAATGAAACAAAAAAGTAAATACTTTAGGAATTGCTTTGGGGCTGCTGCTGGCTCTGCCATCACCTGCATTGCTAGTATTCAATATGGGTGCTAATTCATGCCCCTGCTGCTCCACTTCTTTTTTTCTTTATTTAAAAATGTTTAAAAAATATTGATTAATTTTTATTGCAAAGTCAGATATACAGAGAGGAGAGACAGAGAAGACAATCTTCTGTCTGATGGTTCACTCCCCAAACAGCCACAACCACTGGAGCTGAGCTGATCCGAAGCCAGGAGCCAGGAGCTTCTTCTGGGTTTGCCACTCAGATGCAGAGTTCCAAGGCTTTGGGCCGTCCTCGACTGCTTTCCCAGGCCACAAACAGGGAGCTGGATGGGAAGTGGGGCTGCTGGGACACGAATCAGAGTTCATATGGGATCCTGGAGCATTTCAAGACAAGGATTTTAGCCACTAGGCCACTGCGCCAGGCCCGGCTTCTCCACTTCTGCTGATCCAACCCTCTGCCAGTGTGCCTGGGCAAGAAGCAGAAGATGGCCCAAGTACGTGTGTCCCTGTCACTTATACTAGAGATTGGGAAGAAGCTTCAGCCTGGCCAGCACTAGGCATCGTGGCCATCTGGGAAGTGAACTAGCAGATGCAAGGTCTTTCTCTTCCTTTCTCTCTTCCTCTCTCTCTCTCTCTGTTACTCTTTCAAACAAGTAAATCAATGTTTAAAAGAATTGCTTACGGAGGCAATAAATGATGAATTTAAAGGTATTGAAAAAGTGGCATGACCAAAGTGATTATTTTGGTTTGAACAGGAGTTGAGAGCATTTTCTGCTGGAAGGATAGAGTAGTCAGAAATAGAATGGTGTAACACAACAGGAGGTGAGGAGTGTGGCAGAACTGGAGTATATCTGTCGTTTGGCAACACGTTAAAATCTAATTGCTTTTTCGAAATACTTTGCTAAATAAAACTTATTTGGTGACCAAGTCTGCCAGAGGTGTTGAAGGGTGAACAGGAGTTCCGCAGCTATATGAAGGTAAAGGAGAAAGCAAGGTTCCATGGGCGAATCTTGAGGTGTTCAGGAAACTTCTAGAAGTGCTTCTGAAATGAGGCTGGGAACTACAGCTCCCATTTGTCTTTGGAAATGTCTCCGGCAAACCCTGACTTCACTGTACACACCAGCGTCTCTACAACTTTCCCACCACAGGAAATCAAGGTCAAAAGAGACTGGGGGTCTGCAGGAAGAGATCTCCACCTGCTCCTGTTCTGTCTTAAACATCAATGCAGATCTTGTGTCCTGGACCACAGCACCGCCTGGCTGCAAAAGCACTGGAAAAGATGCTGAAACGAAATGCTCCCCCATCTCAGGCCTTTCAGGCAAACCCACATTCCAAGAGGAAGTATGCTATTGTAGAAGCCTTTATCTGCAGCTCTGCTGACTTGCTGTGGGTAATTCCTGTGAGCAGAATTAACAGGTCCAAGGATATTAACTTTTTAAAGGCTTGGCACAGCCTGCCAAATTGTTTACCAGAAGGGCGACTTGATTTTTTAACCAGAAGACCGCATTTAGATTTTATAAAAATCAATATTTGGCTAGACCCTGCAGGAATCACTCTCCCGGGCCCAGCATTGTAGCGACAACAGAGAATATTCTCATCCTGGGGGTGACACTGAGGCAGGCATTTCCAACAAGAGCAGTTTTACCGCCTGTACTGCCTCTGTTGACTGTCTCAGTTCTTCCATGACTGAGCCTGGGAGTGGAGGACAGGCAAACTAGGAATCAGTAAGCCTGGGAGGATGCTGTGAAAAGTCCCAGCCCAGCTTTCTGTGTCCCCTAAGCCCCCACAAACCAACCCACCAGAACCCAACCAAATGATGTCAGAGGTTTCATCTTTGCTATTAAAGATACAACAGCAAAGTGAACAAGAAAAGGGCTCCCTGGAAAGAACAGCCCATTGGTCCCTCAAAGGGCAGCCAAATGGTCAGCAGAGCAGGCCAGAGACAGGCAGAAAGACCTGGAAGCACTGTTTACAGCAGCACGGTAGGGCATTTTCTCCAAGGTTCACCCTTCCTCCTCTTTAACTGTTGGCAGCATTTTCTCTCTTACCTAGTGTCAGAAAACATGGCCACAGCGAACTCCTGAGATTTTCTGCTAATAGCTTATCCATCACAGATAGATTATGTAAAACTTCCTGGTTACCTACAACCAAAGATTCCAGAAAGGGCTCTAATTGACCCAGATTAATCAGATATCTACTTGTAGGACAATCAGCTTCAGCCAGGGCAGAGGGTGCCATCAAAGGAAATAACAACACAGCTGGGTTATGAGAACAAAGGCACCCAGAGAAGCAACAGCTGTAATGTCTTAAATATGGAATGTGCTCGTGACCCACATAGATTAAAATGAAGAGAATTTGAGGCCAATGTTACATAAGGGAACTGATACTTAGGCCAAACACCACCAAACAAAGCAATGTCGATTCTCTGTGGCCAACATTCTTTCTGCACGTCTCCTGTCTGCAGTCATGGTGTTCTTCCACTTCGCAGAGGGCAGGTTAATCTTGAGGTGTCTTAAGAACATCTTCTAGGGCCTGGTGTGGTGGCTCAACAGGCTAATCCTCCAGCTGCTAAGTGCAGGCATCCCATATGGACACTGGTTCCTGTCCCAGATCCTCCACTTCTGATTCAGCTTTTTGCTTATGACCTGTGATAGCAGTGGAGGATGGTTCAAGTCCTTGGACCATCCAGAAAGTCCCTATTCTCCCTGGATGTCTACCTGTTAGCAGAATTCAGCACATGTGTGGCTGCTGTACTCAGACAGGGGCCCTGAACAAGGCAAATAACTCAGCCCAAGAGACCTACCATCCTCTAAGTGGGAGCAAGGAAAGAAGACCTCCCCACCACCGAGAAAAACCTGCCCGCATGACTATAGGCTGCTGTTACAATTCAGTGCACACCCACAAAGGAAGTAGATGAAATCAAGCCTCAAAACACACTAGTCAAGAGACTTGGCTGGCAGTCCAGCAGGAGTTCAGCAATGTGTGCGGGACTTATCCACAGACCAACTATGATATGTGTAATACAGCCTCTGCCACAGGTGGAATCTGTGCAGACATGCACAGTTTTGGAGCAAAGAATTTCTGAAGGAGCAAGGCTAGTGGAAGTGAGAGGTAAAAATGTGCTGGGAGTCATGGGAGCACATGTTCAGGGGTCCTGGGCTGGAGGCCCACAATCAACAGCAAGCACTCACAGAGCACAGCAGCTCAGGTCCGACAGGGCTGCAAAGGCACTGCACCAGTCAACTGGCTGAATCCTGATCACAGAGGTACTAACGGGTGAGCTTTCTTTCATCCCCATGTTCCACAGTAGAAAACTGAAGCACACAGACAGGCTGGGCAATGTGCCCATGGTCAGAGACAGAGCTAGCAAGACTCAAACACCAACAGTCTGGGTAGAGCCCACACTTCTTT